TCCCGGAATTCTCCAGCCAGCAGAGCTGGCTGGAGAATTCTGGGAGTTGAAGTCCACAAGTCTTAAAGTTGCTAAGTTTGGGAACCTATGGGATTCTAGCCAAATCTCCAAAAACTTCCCTTCATCTCCTCCAACCTGACAGCACGCATGTTCGCACGGCACACCAGAGATGCCCATCGTGTCTCAGTACAAGCTTCCTGAGCAAACTGGAGGACACTGGGAAACTCCCTGTGGCCGTTTTCCAAATTCCTTGCAGCCAACACTGACCAAAACTGCTGGAAAAGAAAAGCGTGGCTTCCTATCGCCTTCACACGGTTAGTAAATTGCAGAAGATGTAAAAAAAAAAAAAAAAAAGCATAATCTTCTTTAAGTGGAGGTCAGGTCTCAGTGATTGTCAGGAAGCTCCACACCGTTTCCCTGCTCTCAGTAGGGAAGTGAGGCCCCATTGCCTGCTCTCAAGGTCTATCCTTATCTCTACACTCTGGGATTTACTTAGAAAAGAACAGTGAGTAGCTCAGGGTTGAGCCGTGGAGTACTTGGTGGTTTGTGAGTTTGCTTGTTTTCTTGCAGATGTTTCATGACCCAGCTAGGTGACATTATTAGGGTACAGAAGTTGGGTGGAGGGAGGAAGAAGGGAAAGAAGGAAGGACTGTGGGGTCCTTGGTGCTCTCTGAGCTGGGTTGCCTTCTTGCAGACATTTCATGACCCAGCTAGGGAACATCATCAGTGTCAGATTGAGGAGGAGGAGGACTGTGGGGTCTTTGGAGCTCTCTGAGCTTGCTTGTGTTCCTGCAGACCTTTCATGACCCGTGGAGATAACCTCATCAATGTTAGAAGGGAGGGTGGGTTTTACTTTCTGTTGATGTACAAGTGGCTTGTTTGGTGGGAGTGGTCTTGTGGGTTCCTTGATTAGGAAGCCCCCTGATTGCTTACTGTTTGCCTGTCTGCGTTGGTAGCTCCTCGATTGGGGTATAAACAGAGAGCCAACCTCACTCTCTCCTAGCACTGATGATGTTACCTAGCTGGGTCATGAAACATCTGCAAGGAAAATACAACAATTTCACAAGGCATCAAAGACTCCATCGTCATCCTTCTCCTGTGCAAACCCAACACCTTTCCAGCCATTATGTTGTTACCTAGCTGGATCAGGAAATGTCTGCAAGAAAACCACCAAGCACAGAGAGGCACCAGGGACCCCACAGTCCTCCTCCTCTCTGCACTCCCTCCTCTTTTCTAGCACGGATGAGGTTGCCTAGTTGGGTCATGAAATGTCTGCAACAAAACCACAAGGTCACAGAGCAGCAAGTTGTAATTGTTCTTCTTCCTCTCCGTCTCTGCACACACACCCTCCCTTCTAGTATGAAAATGAAATGTCTTCAAGGAAACCACCAAGCTCAGGGAGCATCAAGGACCCTGCAGTCCTCTCCTCTTCAAAATTGCCTCCCTTTTAGCACTGATAATGTTATCTAGTCTGCTAATGAAATGTCTGCAAGGAAACCACCGAGCTCAGAGAACACTAAGGACTCTGTATGAGTTATGAGTTATGAAAGTTTATTTATATGCTGCCCTTTTCCCTGGGGGGACTCAGGGCGGCTTACAACCCAGAGGGGGGGGGGAACAAACATTTTAACACGTG